TGAATGCCCTGGTAGGGAGGGCTTAATTGCCCCATTAAGTGGGTAACCATTTAAGTAATTTGAAATGGTCAAACACGACGTACGCGTTCTAACTTCAATACGCGAGGGTGGACCCTTGCATTTGGCTTTTGAATCGCGGGGGTGACTTTCGCGTTTAGCTGTTGAAACGCAAGGGTGACCTTCACGTTTAACTGTTGAAACGCTAGGGTAACCTCTGCGTTTAGCTGTTGAAATGCGAGGGTTGACCTCCGTGTTTAGATGTTAAAATGCAAGGGTCGACCTCTACGTTTAGATGTTAAAACGAGGGGGTCGACCTCCACGTTTAGATGTTAAAATGCGAGGATCGCGTTTGGCCTCGGAGACACAAAGATCATCAATTTGTAATCTTTATGTCACCTCTGCATCAAGTCTTCTTAGAATACAAAGGTCGTCATCTTGTAACCCTCAAACTCTGAATTCTAAAGATGTGAGAGTCGTCAAATTGTAACTCTCGTCTGTTGCCGTGAAAATCGTCAGATTGTAACTTTCATCGTTGGTGTTTTGCGAGGATCAACTATCCCATTTTGATTGAAAATAAATGGAAACTCCTGAGATCTACAAAGATCAGTTCTAAGCGTCGCCCGCTTACTAGGGTTTCAATAAGCCACTCGTTCGCTAGTGGTTTCAATAAGCTCTCTAGGGGTTTCCCCTCCAAAAACCCTCTCTTTCAAGATGATCTCTAAGGATCCCCTTTCAGCTAACTTCTCAGCTATTTATAGGGTTTAAGGGTGTAACTGACCTCTTAATTCACTCCATAATTGGGGCTTAATGGCCTCATTATGTGAAAAAATGATTTTGAAACCGTTCAAATTTTGTTTGAATTAATCAAATGCGAGGTTCGCGTTCTGGAGCGAGCCTCGCGTTCAACTTTGTGAAACACGGAGGTGGTCCCCGCATTTTAGAGTTAAAAAGCGGGAATGACCCTCGCGTTTTGGAATTGGAACGTGGGGGTGACCCTCGCATTTTTGAATTGGAACGCGAGGGTGAACCCTCGCATTTTGAATTGAAACGTGGGGGTGACCCTTATGTTTTGGAATTAGAACGCGGGGGTGGACCCTCTCGCATTTTGGAATTAGAACGCGGGGGTGATCCTCACATTTTGGAATTGGAACGCGAGGGTGACCCTCGCGTTTTGGAATTGAAACGCGGGGGTAGACCATCACATTTTGGAGTTGGAACACAGGGGGTGGACCCTCGTGTTTTGCTTTGAAAAGATCGTTAATTGTAATCTCTTTTTCAAGTTCTGCAAAGATCATCATTTTGTAATCTTTACATTTGGATTTTTTTAAGTATGAGAGTCATCAATTTGTAACTCTCATCACTGAGAAACACAGGGGTGATTGAAATCATGATGATCAATCTGTAGTAACTTTTTTGACAACCTACATTCTATAATTAAAATTAGCTAGTGGATTCAATTCTAGATTCCTCATACCTTTAATTGAATCATTCATCTTTACTTTCTTGAATTTTTTCTCGTTCTTGATTTTTCTTCTTTATTTTCTTTGATTTCTTTATCTCTTCTCGACCTCATTTTATTTTCCTTATTTGCATATATTCACAACCACTCCTCATATTTATCCATAATCACACACTTTCAACACTCCTAATTGTCACACACACAGCATAAGAACTAATCTTGATTTTCTCCTACAAGCACCTTCCTCGTGGGATCGATAACTTTTTATACTATAACTTGATAGTTGTGCACTTGCAACTCTTGGTTATCATTTATACCCTATCAACACTACCAAAATTGGCTTATAATTTGCTTATTAGTATTTCTAGACTTATTGTATTTCTTAAGGATGATGTCTCATCTATTATCTGAAATGATTAATATTTTTCAAATGTTTATTTGATTTTATATTTGCATTATTTGATATGTGTAACAAGAGTTTTTTTTCTTTTAAGTATGGCTTATTTTGTTGATGTTGATAAAAACAAGGAGTGTGAAGCTACTCCTTCCCCTAAAACCCCTAAAGTTCCTCCTTCAAACTCGAACATAAACTTCATGCCATTTCTCTATACCGACTACTCTGCTCCTCTACCTCTCTATCCATTTTACTCTTATTATGACAATAATTTTCCATTTATGACCCAACAACATATGTCATATATGAATATGCTTACTAGCCACCCAATTATCCATACAACCCCTAGCTCACATGGTAGTGGTACCCACTCTGGAGAGAGTCCTTCATTGAAGAGGGCTATTGAAGTTGATGTCGACACAATTTCCACCTTTTGCACTCTTATTGCCATGTTGCCTTTTTCATGGGGTTCATTGCAACAATACTCTAATTAATCCCCATGCTTTTGGTGTTTATGTGAAGCTGCAATAATGCAGCTTATGATACTCTGTATATGACTTTGCTTTTATTTCCATGACAAAACTGCTATATGATATTGTAAAACTATGTTTATGATCAGGTTAATTATGATCTCGTGAATGGTGTGTATGATTCTGTTTGCTCTATGATTATGACCAGGTTGTGCTCAAGCTTAAATATGACAAGTTTTCAGGTCAAATTATGAGCATATATATATTGTTTCAGTTCAGCTCAGATTATGAGCGGTTTCAGCTTAATGTTTGCTTCAGTTTCAACTAAGATAAGAAGTTGTTTTCATCTCATTGTTTGCTTCAGATTTATCTTCAGTTTCAGCTTAGATTACATCCTCAGTTATCTATTTGAGCTTAGATTTTGAGCAATTTTCAGCTAAGCTAAGGGGCTATTTTTATCTCATTATCTATTTGAGCTCATATTTTGAGTAGTTTTCAACTCATTGTATGCTTGTTACATGTTCTATTTATGATCAGGTTTATGCTACTATGAGAATTGGTTATAATATTGATTTCCTTTGTTCAAATCATGAAGTTAACTAGTATGTCTCATGATTGGTCTTTATTGTGTGCAATTATTAGCTTGCAAATGAATGTTGTTTTTTAACATCTATTCTCATGAGACATGATGCTATGATCTGTGGACAAGTTATAAAGATAGCAATCTATAGACTTAGGTGTGTATTGGTATGACTATGTTTTAAACTTTGGTTCCTCATCTGAGCACTAAATTAGTCTTTGTCATGATGCAACGATATTCATAAGTTATTTGGGTTTTTTGCATTAGGCAATGATGATTGGTCATTTTTGTTAATGAGACTATATTGTGATTTTATTATTTAGATGAGGCAAACCATGATGAGAATGCAATCCAAATTGCTCATGCAATTTTTAGATGAAGCAACCATTATGTGTAGGCAATCTATAATGCAATTATAATATTTAGGCGAATTGTATACTGATAATATGATTTTAATCCGAACCTCATAATTTATTATTTAACAATCATGAAAGTTTTCTTTCATAACTCAATACATTTTGAAACTACATGGCATATTTTTTAAAGATAAAGATGAGTACTTAAATTATAACTAAAAACAATACATTTATTTTCCAAATGATTAGTTGATGCTCTGCTGATTTCAATTCTCTCTTCAATTTTTTGATTTTCATTGACTTTTCATCTTCAAGAATGTCTTCACTTTGTGATAGTTGATTTTTGTTTTTACAATCACCCTCTTTTGTGAGCCCACTGAAAGAAGTTACATTCTTTATTTAGGAACTTAGCACAACCTCAATAATATCTCCTTTTATTTTTTTCCATTTGCACATAACTTCAAGGGTGTTGGAAGCATGTGTTTGTACTTCACTTCATATGGATCAATTGGTTGTTTGCTATCACATTTCAACTCCATCTTCACTACAATAGCAAGGTTGCTTTGTTTCCTACAAAAAAAAAGAGACTAAAATGAACTAGCTTGTATTGGGCTACTGCATAAATATTTATATAGGATTGCAATTCCTATATACTAGCCATTGCAACCCCTTGTCGTTTACATTCGTTGCCAATTTAGTACTAGTGAGTTTGTATTCTAGGGGGGGGCTAACTCTACAACAGGTATGTTTATTCACACTTTTTTAGGTTCTTTCCTATTCTATGGTTTTGAAACAAACACAAAAAAGCTCAAGAAAAGCTTGCTATGATGGTATTTTTCTTATTCTTTGGAAATGAAACAAACACGAGTTTTGGATATGCTTTCCAATTTTTTACTTTATCACTCCAAACCAAACACAAGTTTTAGATTCCTTAGATATCCTAAAAAAATTTTGATTTGTTTTTTTGCGAGGGAATCCATTTTCATAATTTTTTGGAAATGAACCAAATAGCCCCTAAGTCACAAGATCATTATGATTTGAGGGATTAATGAACAATACCAAAATTTGTGGACGAATATGGATTGAAGATTTTAAGACATGAATATCTAAACAACTCAAAATAGAAAATAGAAGATTAGTTCTTTTTGTAGGACCCGTTGCTTGTTAGTTATCTTTTCTAACACTACAAGCATTTTAGTACTAAAAGTGAGTTTTTGTTGCAACTAGACCTAAAATGTTTAAAGCTGGAGGAAAAAAATTGGCATGAATGGCTAACATGAACATAAGTAAATGGTACGAAACATAGATTTAATGGGTTGACATCTTTAGTTGAGAGCATGTGCTTCTCTCCCTTCTGCATTCAAATATGGATAAAATTTGAAATTAGCAGTCATATCCAATTTCTTTATTTTAATCTTACTAGTATGCAATATGTGCGTTGCACATGATGTATATTTAGAAACAACATGAGTTAAATTCCATAATATTTTCATAATTATGCATTGAACTTATACACAATATACAAGATGAATGTCAATTAATAATTATCTCACAAGACTTTGAATATTGTCCATAGAGAAGGAACCTAATCAACCATATATATGTTGCGCGTGATAAAAGTGTCTGCACAATCAAGAAGAGGTAAGTTTTTTTAACTTCAAATAACTAATATTCAGCATCACATTATAAACCAGGAAAATATTCGATTATCATGGCAATATACATACAATGAGAGTAAAAAAGAGTCAACATGATAGCTTGCAAACATAACTTTATTGTTGAAATCCAATAATTAAAAATAAATAATATTTCTTATATACAACAAGAAGTTAATGAATTTCCAGCAATATACAAGTTTTCTAGAAGAAGCATCCCTTTATGCATACATAAGATCACATACTCGCATTACCGACAATATAGTCCCTCAAAGAAGGCACTTAAATTCCTGCAAACCCCAAAAACCTCTTTATTATTTTTTGGAAGATAAAGTATAGTTGCAATAATAAGTACAAATAAAAGTGAAGCAAAATTATACAATACACTGTCAAAGTTGTACCTCCATTTTTAAAGGTGAGGTTGTCAATGTATATCTTTTCATGACTTTTCCATCTTTGTCCACAAAGAACTTAGTGAAATTCCACTTGATGTCATCACCAAAAAACCTCCTTTCTTTGATTTCAAGAACTTATAAAGAGTAGTAGTCTCCTTTCCATTTACTTCAACCTACAAAAAACAACGAGTCAGTGATATATAGTTACATAAAATTTTCTTCTAGAACAATGGTAACATAGTGTAAATTTCTGTTGTATATTTTGTTAAGTGCAAGAGAGATCTATTAACTAAGCTAAAATTTAAAGCTAATAATCTTGTCGTATGAAAATTAACACTGTATTTTCTTTTTCCAATCATGCTAACCATCAAAAATCAAATCTAGTTAGTTTGAAGATATTTATATTCAGATCATCTTTGCAACCTTTGTTGGATTTTATTTGAATTATCTTTCCTGATGAAAGATAACGATATACAGACAAGAATAAATTTGTAACAATAACAGCTATCTACAAAGCAAATTAGAGAGCTAAGAGCAGAAGAAAGTTTTTCTTAAAGAAAGTTTAATAAACAAATGCATAAAAAATAAAATTATATCTTTTTTTATACATACCAAATGAAATGATACAGTAGCAAGAAGGAACAGACTGCATTTTGTCTCAACATGTTCTTACCTTTGGTGTTGTCTTCGATGTTGTTCAGGTTTGTCCTCGATTCCCCACAACTGCCTTTGCATCAATGCTCAAATGCTCAAATCGGACCTCAATATATCGTTGGATTATCAATACCAAGCCCAAAAACACCAAAAAATTACCCAATTAATCAAACAAACCAAAAAACAAACAAAACTTAATTCAAAATTTAATATTTACCGCTCCATTCAACTCTTGAGCTTTAGCAAGAACCTTTCATTATCCTCCTTCGCAGTTTGTACCAACCTCTCAAGCAAAAATTAGAAATATGCATACATAGAATTCTAAAAAACTAAAATATCTGAATGAGATAAACCAGATCATACCTACAGATATGGCTCATCGTATAATGTATTAAATTTAGCAAATTTCTTTTGATTCCTAATTAAAAACAATGAATGTTGTAGAAGAAAGAAAAACCCTCAAGTAATATCAAATCAACCAATTCACATATTGAATTCAGATGATAAAGGAAATCAAATCAAATAAGACTAATCAATCTAAATCCTTCAATTGGTTAATCTGAACTGGTGATAGTGTATATGAAGTGTGGAGTGGTTCTGTGTCTTTTTACATGAGATGAACTTGTTGCTTGTGTTACATCATTTTCTCCTCTGTTATATTGTTTTCTTGTGTCTAATGAATGAGGTTGGTAGAGGTTTTTGTCTGCTTTTCTCTGTTGTTGCCTTAGAAATTTTAGATTAATTGTTAATATTTACTTGGCCTTCAAATATTTAAACTCATGTAGTTTCTTCAATATATTATATAAGACTTCATAATAACTAACAGCTAGCTATCATAGGCAAAAGTGGTACACCATGGTATAATGAAAGATCCAATCTTTTTAAGGCGTGATTTTAGCAGGTGAGTGTGTCAAAGCACCACTTGCTTAGTGAAAAGATAAGTTACTATTTCTATTTTGTACAATCAACTTAAAATTTCATAAAGCTAAGAGAAAGTACCTACAATAAGGAGAGCTTTCCGAAAATGATACTTCTGGTGACAATAAAGCTCTAGAAAATGGTTTAAGTGTGCTGCAAAAAGAGAGTCACCATATAAGTAATAATGGTTCAAAACATCCCATCATATCATATCGGTTACTTAGCAATAGGCTTAGCAAGAGCTATCATATTATCAGTCTTATAAACAGAAATACATAAAAAGTAATGACTTCTGTTGTACTCTCTTTATGTTTATTTTGTACATTTTACTCTTATTAAATAACAAAGTTCCTCGGCATCTTGCCCCGGTTACTAAAAAGACTGCCAAATATAATGATTACCTATATTATGGGAATTTCTCCGGTTTTAACTTTATTTCTCTAAATTTTACGGGTACTACTTACATATAAGAAATCGGAACACAAAGAAACATTCAAATAACTGAAACAAAATGCACAAGGAGTTAGGCAGATATAAGTATAATGAATGAAATAGAAGACAAAATACTCCAAGTGGGATTAGCTAATTGAGAAATAAAAAGAAACTGCCTATCTAATTACCTAAGTTGAAGAAAACTAGGCTAAGAAATATGATGGTGTATCTATTAAATCCACCGCAAAGAAGCAAAGGAATCATACATGGTCGAAAGACCAGTTCCTCTGTGAATGGTGCCTATTCAGTATATGGTTGCCATCAATTAATAGGTCTATGATCACTTTTAAAAGTTATAAAAAAATTCAACTAAATGAAAGAGTAGACAATATGAGCATATAATACAAGTATGATATGAAGATTACACACTACATGATGCAAATGAGCAAAGCATGCAAATGTTTCAAGACCTATAAAAATCTTTGTTTGGATCATCATGATATGTACACAGAAGAAAACTCTGCAAAATGCACATGATGCGCATCATGATATGTACACAGAAGAAAACTCTGCAAAATGCACATGATGCGCATTAAAAGTTCAATTAACACCAACTGCTTAATCAGTTAGAAGAAAACTCTGCAAAATGCACATGATGCGCATTAAAAGTTCAATTAACACCAACTGCTTAATCAGTTATCGGCTCGAGCGCACAGAAGTAAGCAATGCAAAAGGCACGCGTGATATATGTCAAAATTTCAATCAACATCACTCAAACATAAGATAGCCTAATACATATGAGAATCCGGCCCATACATTTATACTGCATTCAAACGATTATCTGTCTTTGGATGTGGGTTACAGGTCCAGGCTTTCAGGATGAATAAGTACAAACAAGTTCATGTCAATGACTTGTATTGATTATCTGTCTTTGGATGTGGGTTACAGGTCCAGGCTTTCAGGATGAATAAGTACAAACAAGTTCATGTCAATGACTTGTATTGATTATCTGTCTCTTGATGTGGGTTACAGAATACATAGTGTACTTTTAAATAGCGTATTAACCTGCTGACCGCTAAGCAACACCTAAATTAATCGATCAAATTTTTCGTACAAATGCATAAAGTAAAATGCTGATAATTTATTACAAATTGAGCTCAAGAACTTCACATCAAATCGAGAACATATAATGAGTAAGATGATCAAAATTAAAGAAAACTTGAAGAAAGTATCAATTTACCACAACATAAATACGCCAAGCCATCACATTATGCAGCATTCCATACACCCACTCCCCAAACTCTTCAAACCTCTCCGTCCGCTAATCACCAACCAAAACTCCAACGCCAAGGATCTAGAATACACCAGCGACGTCAGCGAGAGAGGAAACACCAAAGCTCGTCACTGCGGTAAAAGCGTTAAGTGTCCACAATTACCTCAAAATCACTCAAAAAACAAGAGAAATCAAGATCTCAGGGTCCAATATCGTATGATCCGCTCTAATCCCAAACACGCCAAAGAGTGAGGCCAAATCCCTAAATCTCCCGGCCTGCCCAAAACAAAACGGTGCGTACAAATTTTGGGTGTAGAGAATTTATAGAAGGAAGATAATTTGGGGGTTTAGAAATGGAAGAAGCGGAAGAGGCAGAGGGAGGTGGGTGGGTGGAGCGGCAGAGGAGAGGACAGTTAAATGCGGGTGCAGGGGGAGGGATGAAGAGGCGGGGGTGTTTCTCAGTGGTTAAGAAACGGAAGAATTGGAGATGAAGACGCGTGGGTTAGAGCAGGAGGGGAAAGGGCACGATACTAGCAACGCACTCAGGTTTTTAATGTGAATTAATAATCTTAAGCACTGATAATCATAATTAAGCCAGTTGAAATATAGGATAAAATTATAATTAAGCAATTTGAAAGGGGCAAAATGGGTATGCAAAAGTTTTGACACTTGTTTTCTCTTTTAGAAGTAGTATAGATGTTCAAATTTGGGGATCATTTTTAAAATTGGTGGAACCTCCAGCATGTCCTATTCAAGCTCAAACTTAAACCCGAAAAGATGTAGATTGAAAGAGATGCTGATAGCCCAGCAACTAATTCATCTAGTTGTTTGCTTTTCTTGCACTCTATCCACACTCCTAGGGGGGGTTAGCCATCTAGAACTTAAAATTGGAACTGGAATAATCTGTGGGATAAATTTTTAAGGTGTTAGTCACATAGAACTAAAACCATAACAACATTTTACAATGTTAGTCAAGTAGAACTCTAACAAAACTAGAATTGGGATAATAATATAAAATTATCCCATCTTTTTTATTTTTCTATACAAAAATGAGAGTTCTAGTCTCTTAAATTATTCCAATTTTTAGCTTGGAACTAGGTGGTAAAAAACTAGAACTCATATTTAATTTATTATTTTTATATTTCTTTTTCTTTCTTTACTTCTTTCCTATTATGGTTATCATCATCATTAGACCATCATTATAATAATAATTGTCAATATCTTATAGTCTAACCAAAAGTTATTTAATAGTAAAGAACATTCTTGTAAGCAAGTATCAATCAATAATAGTAAGTTTAAAATACATAAATAGTATTTATATCTTCAAAATGCATAAATATATATATTTCATGATTATAAAATTTTATCCCATGTTATTTTATCAAAGTATCCCACTTCACAAAATTGTTCTTATTTATCCCACTAAAATCTCCCACTAGTGAAAAATCATTCCACTTTAACAATTATCCCATTTTGTATAAAAATGTTCCAATTGACTAACACCCCCTTAGGGTTTGAGCTTGAGTTTGAAGCTGACGTATGCTGGAAGTTCCGGAAGTTCCTTTAATTTGAAAATAATCTCAAACTTGATATGTAATCTCAAACTTTTTGACCTAATTGCAATAGAGCCACATTTTAATATCACAATGTCACAAAAGTCAATAAGAATTTTCCCCCATTTGGAGAACCATCTTGGACTTAGGCCCTATTTCATGTTACCACTCTTATCCAAAATTTAGAAAACCATCCATATTTGTCATTCTATTAACATAGAACCCCCATCTTTTTCGTCAAGAAAATTAAATCTTGGTTTTTTACCCATGCATAAGTTTTATTTTGTTATTGGACTTTGGAATCAAAGTTAAACACCTCAAATGTTTAAGTTTTGATGGTATTTTCTTTCCCAAATATACTATAGACTTAATTTTTATAAAATTTATTTTTTGCACAGCAATTGCGCCAAAGTTCAATAAAATTTAACTTTGATATCCAAAGTCAAATAAAATTAAACCTATACAGGAGTAAAATTTTAAAACCATAATATTTTTGGATAGGAAATTGAATGAAAAAAATCATGGGTAGTCATATATTAACAGAACGGTAAATAGTGGTATTTTTCAGAAAGTTGAGTAATTAAAAGTGATAGCATGAAATATGGCCTAAGTTAAGGATGGTTCCTTGAAAAAAAAGGTACTTAAAATTTTGAGGGATAGATATTAAATTTTTTGAATCAAAATACTCTTAGAAATAAAGCTTGCCTCGCCAGTCGCCACTGATGTCCATCGTTCAATTTGCCTGGCAAACTGTGTTGTTTCATTTTCTTTTTCTAATTAAGCTACGGCTGGCATGCAATACTCCATTCACGCTAGTTTCCTTGATTGTCAATAAATAGCTTGAAACATAGGTTTGCATACGGGATAATCTATAAAAGAAGAAATTTTCAATATAGACTCATTACCACATTTTATCACAAAAATTGATCTTATCTCTTTTTTATTAGTGAAATCGACCCAGTTTCTGCCACGTCAGCGTCGTGGCCAGAAACTGGATCGATTTCTAAAAAAACACGTTGTTTAATTAGTCGGGGTTAACTACCCTGTCTAATTAGTATGTGCTCAAGATCCCAATTCAAGTCCCTACAAAAATTGGTGGGGTTGCTAAACCCGACCAAAATGGTTGGGTTTGGCAACCCCGATAATTTTTTTCGTGCCGAATTGATCACGGTTGGCCAATTTCAAGCTTCAATTGGCCGGTCCCCAAATTGTAGGGGTTAGCAACCACTATTAATTGGCGGTGACTTTTAAAATTAGTCCCCAAATTGTCGGGGTTGGCAACCTCGACCATTTCAGTTTCTTGCTTCCAATTAGCCAACCCCGACTAATTAGAAGTTTATTTTTTTTAAACCACCCAATTTTTTGCCATGATGCTGACGTGACTAGAAATTGGGTCGATTTCACTAAATAAAAAGTGAAATGGGTCGAATTTTGGGAATAAATTAGGGATGAAACTGTTTTGAAAATTTCTCTACCTATAAAAAGTTGGGAACACGGTCACAACTATATATTGCACCCCCCCATTGAAAGTAACTATTTACACGAGATTGATATTGTTTTATGAGAACTAAAATTCTTATAACTTTTTATGTTTCTTAGTAAAGTAGTTATAAATTAGAAAATTGTTCGTTTTTGAACTAGATACTTGAGCGAATCTTTAAAATCATACATCTCAATAAGGTATAGGCTGAAATTGATCCTACGCGTGTCAGCGAGTTGTAGAAAATGGATGTGAAGTATTGAATATACCGTCAAGAAGTTTTATGAAAATTTTAAATTAAAACATGTATAATACTATAGGGGCCTATTGGTATTAAATAAAACGACTGGGGTCTGTCTGCAACAAATAGAACTACAGGGGTCTCCTTACAAGTAGGTGATACTACAGGGGTCTGGGTAAAATTAACTCAGATACTAAAGATTTATTTATGTCGCATAGAAAAATAAGCCCTCGAGTCCTCGATGCCGTCCGCCGGCGATCCATCGCCTTCCTCCGCCTCTTCTCTCTTCCCCTTGTCTCAGAGCTCCGCAGTTGCCCTTGATGGTACATTTTAACTACAAGCTACGTGTATTTTCTTTGTTTTGATGCTTAATAGTTGACTATTCTTGTGGTTTGGCTTTTCGATGATGAACCATATATACCAATTATTGTACAGACATTGTGTATTGTGCCGCTGAGTTGGAGATATTAGGTTGAGATTTAGTTTAAACCATATATACCAATTATTGTACAGACATTGCATGCCTAAATTCATAATTTGCTCAGATGCCACTCCTCCAACTCTCATATCTGTCATTGAGACAGAGATTCCTAGTTTAGGATAATGTTGGGGATTGGAATGCCTAACTGACTTACTGAGCTTCGCCCAGCCGGCTTTTTCTCAATATAAGTAAATGAACTTCGCCCCATTCAGTTGGGCACTGAAGCGAACTTTGCCAGAATGATATGGCGAATTTCACCAAGTCTCCAAATTGAGAAAATTTCAACTCAATTTGTTTAAGACCCAACATGGTGAACTTCAATTTGATTCTCGCTGACATAAGGAAGCCTGAGCTTCCTTCCAACACAACAACTCCATGCAGAGTTCAAGTTCGCCGCAGAAAGTTCATAAAGATCAAACACACAGAGATAGACAATTACTGAAAAAGTTTATTTTTTATTGATAGAAGACTCTACTACATAAAGACGACATTCAGACTATCCAGTTACGGGGAAGATGGGTATTTGTTGCTATTTGCTACTATCCTATACTCCTAACTACGGATAATACTGAGAGCTGCACCAAGCTATAGCCCCTATTCTCCCGATCTCACAAAACTTGGAGCCCATGAACTGTTCATTATTCGAAACTGCATGATACAATGACTCAATTACTCCTCCCTGAAACCTGAACGACAACTTCCATATTAATGTTATGGACATGGTATACTTGTGAAAAACATTATTCACACAGTTGATAAAAGAACATCTTACTTGTATTCTTCAAAGTGATAAATCTTCCACTCAGTTATCTACTATTGTTTACAATATTTGGAATCTCATATTTCCTTGTTGTGTTTTAAAGCGGGAATTGATTAGGGAGATGTTTTAAAGATTCTTAACAGCTTTACCCGTTTACTGATACTTTGTGAAGGTGTTTGCTGGTGATTAAATCCCCAGTAAAGAAATATAATAAAGACTAGTGAAATACAATCCACTACAAGTAAGCCCCTCAAAATTCTTATCACTCCGGTCAGACGAGAGGAAAAAAGATGAAAGAAATGAAGGGGGAAACTTAGAATTTGGAGAGGTTTGGAGAGGAAAGAAAAGGAATAGAGGGGATATCGGGACTTTAGTAGTTTATTAGCATTTAATAAGTGCTGCAGCACCATCTAGGCTGACATCAATGACAACAAATAGTAAGCATCAAAGAAGATGTTGCTGAAACCTTAGACGTACAATATGTCTCCTATCTTCTTCTTCACACCCTCATCCAAAAAAAAACCTGAAACTTTTCATTCTTATTCAGTCAATTTCTATCTTCTAGTCTAATTTGACTGCCCTGTATATGTTCTAAACCCCGCATCATATATCCGTCTGATCCAAATATATGCTTGATGATATTGTATCCATATAGGATACCTTGGACATATCCATGTGATCTTAAAAAAAGAAATCTGATGTGGAATATATATAGACATGTTAATACTTGATATTAGGTTGTAATCTTAATGGAGTATGTTTCCAGTGTCCATGAAGAACTTGATTAATGGCTATAATTTGCTACCTCCATGTAATTTTTTGGAATATGGTTGGCGATTTGTTTCCTAGTTATACCTCTATTCAACTTTTTGTGCGATTTGTTTCCTAGTTATCTTTTCTTGAAATTTTGCAATCTCGATATATTTTCCTACTTCTCCACCCATCAAGCCAACGCACTTAGATGGTATCCATCCATCAGCCCATCTGACCCCAATTTTACTGCTGTCAGAATCCAAACATGGGAACACATAAATTCACCTATCTTCCCTGGTCCTATTATTCAGCCCTTCCCTGTAAACATTTCCCTCTACCAACTGGTACGCCACTTCTCATATTTGGCTTTCATGTGATTACATATTCCATTGTGTTTGCTTCATCTCTATTTGTCGCAAGGATTACTTCAAGATTAACTATTTATCATTTTATGAACAAGGATCACAATTGTTTGCCAGTGTGACTTTGCAACCACTACCATTATTTGTAAGAGTTTCAGAGTAATCTATTGGTCAGAAAAATTCTGAATTTTGGATTTCAAAGTTGGGGTTAGTCATCCTTACCAGAAAATCGGAAATAGCATGTTGAAATAATGGATCAAGGTCAATAGTCGTGCAGGTTGTTTCTTTTTTTGGCTTAATAAAACGGATGTGGCACAATACATAGGAATATATTGATGTTTCTCTTTGGTCCACTTTATCTTTCTGAAAATTTAATTATCATTAGCAATTTCCAATCCCATCCCTTTACTGTAGATGGAAGCTCTACTGAGTGACGGCATGCTTCTCCTTGGTGACCGACAGCCCATTTAGAAAATTTTGTAAATTTTGTTTATAGTTATATGTGAGGATTAAATGAATCAATCCATCTTTATTCATCAATCATGAAGAAGACATGTTGTGCAATTGTAATACTTATTATTTGTAAGTTTTTTGTAAAATTCACTGATTATTTGTTCATTTTCCTTGAGAAACATTTTCCCTTGAGAAACTTTTACATCTTTCTACTCCTACGACAAGCTTGAAATTTTGTTCCATTCATGATATTTTTCGTATCTTACTCACTGTACCTAGCTATACCCTATATTCCCTCCAGAAGTTTCAGAATTTTCAAGAATTTTCAAGAATTTTCAAGAATTGGTATAACATACACTGGCTAGACAACTCCTGAGTGCCGTACTTTTTTTTCTTTTTTTTTTCATATGATCACGAGTTGAATTGGCAGCATTCTTTATGTAGTGAGGCCCAGGGTAACGAAGGACTTGGAACTGGTTTTCTGGTGTACTAATGGGGTTTGACTGATCTGCTAAGAAGCACTGACACCCTAACAGAGATGTATCATGAAACTTCTACGCATGACATGGCAGACTCACCAACCTATAAAGCAAGAATAGCATGTCAAGAAATGCGGGGTCTAAAGCGCATGCATGAAACACATTTTCTATATATAAAAGGATCAGTGTTATATGGACCTAGTAAGTATTTAGAGATGAAGCATGTGATTCTCCTCTTATTCTCAGGCAGTCCTGTTTGAATCATGGAAGAGATGGAACTAGGTGTGCAATCTGATATGGTTTTATTCGACCATATTCAGATTCAGATTTAAAATAACCCGAATATAAAAAGAAACTTTTTTACAAAGTTGAAATCCAAATACGGATATCTCTTCCGTTTCTATTTTTTTATTTTGTGAATACATGTGTGTATCCAAATAGCATCCAAATACCTAATATGTTCTTAATTCATCTATAAATAATATTTTGAGAAAGCTATCACATCCATTTCGTACCAAGTTGACCATGATGTATAATGCAAACATCCTAGAAGAATTTATAGGTAGTGAATATCGACATATATTCTTTCAATTAGTTAGAGAAATTCATATGACAAATTTTGTTGCGAGAATAGTTGATGACATATTGATAATTTTATTTTCTTGCATATTTTCTTATAAATAACTACATTTATGAACTACACCATTCCTATTCATTTCATAGATATTTGTATCATATCAGTTAATATATTTGGAAATATAATAATGATTTCATGACTATTAGTATCGAGATATAAATTCTTATGTGAATAATAAAAAATACATTTCATTTGCATCTTTAGATTGAATGCTTGAAGTTTTTTTGATGGTATGCAAAAGTTTCACTTACCTGGAATGTTGTTCTCCTCCATTGCTATAGACAAGCTAACTCTTTTGTGGTGATTATCTAGCAAATCCTGCATCTTAGGATGATAATCAGGTAATGACATTTCTATGTCTCATTTCATCAGGATTTGGGGCTGAGAGGATTTGCATGCGGTAGTTGGGCGTCCTGACTAAGTACAGTTTTTGTTCAATTTTCTTTTCATATTTGTATTTTCAGTGGAAAGAGGGGGAGAGAGTGTTGAGGAAAATAGTATCTGGAAATGGTTGTTAGCTAAACGTACACTCCAATAACTGGATTATAAATCACTTTATTCTTCATATTTGTATTTTCAGTGGAATCCTAACATTAGTAGGTTTATGTACATTGAAGGGGTGTCTAATGCTAATTCAATGGTCCTAACATCTTGCTCTTTATTGAGACAATTTTATCATTCTCCATAGCCCATACTCCGATGCTGTAAAAGGTTATTTGTTGTTGTTCTGGATTTTTAATTTTTAATTTTTAATTGTTTTTGACAATACCTTCTGGATTGGGCCCTTCAAATATTTCCTAGTTAGATAACATATATGGGTTACGGAACGTCTTCAACTTACTACTCCTCTGTCACAAATACATGTACCAGTTTTCCTCATGTTTGCCCGACAGAGTTATTTTAGTAGTCTGATAATTTCATTAATCATTTGTTATGTTCAAAAGTCATTGGTATCTTGGTAATTAGCAAATGCATACCTTTTTAGGATTTGAATATATGAGTGTTTGTGAGGTTGATGCTTCTTATGAGGCCAAATAAAACGAGTTCTCGGTTGGAGGAGTTGGAGGAGGGGGCTATAGTAGGCCATTTATTTTATTTTTCTTTACAACAGTATGACTAAGTACCATGCAAGAGACATCATTTAGAGGACCTGTTCATGATGGGGAGAACAAATGCAATTTAGAGGATCTTGTTTCCCTAGCATCTTGATGGGGTGAGGACAGGACTCATATTTCCTCTTCTCAGTGACAAGGGGGAAAAAGACATAGCAAGAAACTCACCCACTACATAGTGATCTGCAGTAGAGCAATTACTGAGCAAATATTTTTAAGATCATGGATCTCTGGTTTTGAGTGAGATATTTCTGCAGCTAACTTTATTTGGTAACTGATATCTCTTTCTTATTCTACAACACGAGCACGTTCTCATGTGAGGTATGTTTACGATATTTCTGGCAGTTTCGGAGTATATATTCCTTATAATGCCACAAGTATACATGACTTCATTCGCAACACATCAACATAAAAACTCTTGTTTCATCAAACCATGCACTTACCGCGGATACCTACTTCCTACTCTTGACAAGTCTAAACTCGTTAGGTGGTAGACTTAAATGGATGGTATGACTTGAGGTCCAGAAGGACTCCAGCTACAGACCCACAAGCAGCAGCAAGAGACACAACCAGACATGTGAAGCTAAGTACCTGAAGTCCTACCCATCTCGGTGTCCCCTGCTTGATCTTCTTTTGGGCAATGTACATCTCTACTGGGAAGTAGACGGTCAGTGGCCAGAAACCAAATGCTCCTAATATCCCCACAACATCGTTGAAGAATGGCAAGAGCATGGAAATGACTGTGACTATGGCCACAAAGGCTGTCCTCCAAACAAGCCGGAAGAGATTGAGGTTGTAGACAGAGCCTGTGAAGGGGATCGGCACCTCATAGTCATGGATGATGAACTCGCTCTTGGCCCACCTCTGAGCACTCCACTTCTCAACAAAGGCGAACAATGGCTGGCAAAAAACCTGTTATTCACAGTTTGATCGCAGGGTAAGTTTTCTTTTATATTTTAATTTATACTTGCTGTAAAAAACAGAAGTGTAGTTTAGATCAAAGTGCTGTATCACAATAGATAATTATCAAAATAGATGCTGAAATAAGAGCAATCTGAGAATCTGATTTATTATATTTACAATTTTATTGTCTCATATACCTATCTCCGTCTCTAGTAATTGGATTTGGGTTTATATGAAATCCTTGGGATGGAATACCTGGTAGGCTCCGACAAGATGCACCACAATGGCAAGGTTGGCTATGTCGATAATCCAATAGGGATTGTAGAAACCGAAACCAGTCAGTAGATTGGTAGGGGCATCATCTCCAAAGGCTGCATAGCCCATGCAACCACATAGCAAGTAGAATGTTGTTGTGACCGCAATGCTTAACAAAGTGGCCTTCCTCATGGTTTTGTTCTCAGCTGGCGGGGATTTGAGTGTATCCTGTGAAAAAAGGGACATTGATTGCATATTATGTGTCGAATAGTTATGTACTTTGATTGTAAACTGATAGGTTGGTTTAGATGGAATGCCTGAATCTCAATTAGGATGATAGAGTAGGAGTAAGCAAAGGCGATGTCCCCTAGTGCTTGCAGGTTTCTCCAGATCTTCTGGGTGCCAGTAACAGTTCCCGCTTTCGTTACTGCCCCTATGCTGACACCCATAAGACTCCCTTGTAATTTCCCATTTTCTGAAAGCTCAATAATTTAGAATTATGTTACGTTGATATATTGTTTACTTACAGGGAGATACTTGTATGCAATATGCATATATGCATACACTCATGCATGCTCACACACATATATAAATGCACATATGATCACTTTGAAGACTATAAGTAGTTAGGATGGAAAGAAATATTTCTTTTGAAAACAATATTTGTTCCAATTACAATTGTATGGTTTCATCTTTCATGAATTTGTTTCCTTTTGGGTGGTTACTTTTCAGCGTTCTGCACTTTGTTGGTAAAAAGCTTTGCTGTCTGGTATCTGAATGGAAATGAGTGCGAGTGTTTTTCATTTTTCATTTTTTCTCTTTTTTTTTAAATATTAGCCAATCACTCTAGCAGTTTATAAGTTTATGAATTTTGTTTCCTTTTAGGGCAGTTGACTTTTCAGTGTTTCTGTACTATGTTGATAAAAGCTGTTATTAATGTTTTGGTAAATAAATGTATTCTGTGTGCAGCGGGGGATTGGCTCTTTTGATGTTCTAGATATTTGTACATTTTCTTTATACTTTGTTAGGGTAATCCATGCTATTGGAATAACCTTGAACCTGAACTTGTTCTATCTTTAAATTATTATTATCTCATTTCTTGTACTTCATCTGTTTAAATAGGAAGGAGTTATTTGTTTCGTTTTTGTTTAAGGATGACCGTTGATCAAGGTTTCAATTATTGGATATTGGAGAAATATTACATGACCAAGATCCATATTAGATTGCGGATGTTGGTGAAATATCGTTAGATTGCGGATGTTGGTGAAATATCGGGTATATCTAGTAAATATCAGTCTGCCAAATCTGATGATGTGCATATATAATATAATGTCCTAAATGTAATCTAAAACATATTTAATGTAATCTAAGCATACAACAATGTGAATAATATATGTTTAGGATCACTAACTAATCATAGAAACTTATATAGAGATGAGAGCCCACTAGAATTTGGTAAAAAACTTTATAGGGCTTGAAGTTTTGCTAAAAAGAACAAAGAAATTTTGCATAGCCACAGTATTTAGTGACAAGCCATATAAAAATATATCGGTTATGTTGGGAATATATTGTCCAAAGATTGTCAAATAGCAGGTAAAGGATATTGAGACCCTATAATTTTGCGGCAAGCTTTGTAGATATTGGCTATATCAGGGATAATTAAACAACAACGTAGATGCATACATACAATATCTGCAGCAGTATAGGGTCAAAGACAGGTGCATGGTCATGCATATATACAAGCAATAAATTCAAAATATAAATGTAAATGAGATGCAATAACAGATATGTAAACTATACATATTTGTTTGATGTCGAAAAATTAGACTTATGGAACTTTGTTATACATTTTGTTTAATGGTTAGTAATAGATTAATTTTTGTTATTTAACATGAGCAATAATATGTGTATTTTGAATGTGATACTTGTATTGGATATAAAGTATCAAGACCCGTAGGATGCATTATATAATTATATGATAACCATTAAGATGAAATTTATGGGTTTCACTATCCTTACACCATAGATTAAGTTATTGTCATAATTATATTTATTAAACCTTAATTTGATTAATTATCATATGCATATTGCTTTTCAATAAATCTTGTGATTCTCACTGTCTGAGATGAGATCTTGCACTAGTGTATCAGGTGCTTACAAATGGATTGACAGTCAGACGACATATCTTTTCTCATGAAATATTGACATGTAAAAGATTAATAAATTGTCATAGCACATTTGATTCTTAGCTTCAAGAGATCCATCATCCATGGCAGGTTTCATGATGAATGTAGGCACCTTCATTTGTCAATACAAAGAAGTAGAATTATCAAACTTCTAAAGCAGTGCATTTGGTGCAAATGAACATTATCGAGATATTATGAGATTCTCAAATAACTCTTAAGTAATCCACTAAGCAATATCTTGAATGAACACCCAGTAACAGGTGGTAGGTCAATTGGGCTACTTTAAATTTCTGGCCAGGTGACAGTTGTGAACTAAGGGCGTGTTTGGATTTCAATGGGGTTAAGGGAAGTTAAGGGAAACTAGGTGAGAGAAGAGAAGGGAAGGAAAGAGAGTTCCCTTCCCCTTGGTTACACCCCAATTTGGGGGGTAACAAATTTTATACTATTAAGGGGTGAACTAAGGGGAACTAGGGTGAATAACTTCACCTCCTAAATGTTCCCAAACAAGGTGAATGGTTCCCCTAACTTCCCTTCTCCCTTATTCCCCTCAATCCAAACAAGCCATAAGTTTCTTTGACCAGAATTGTGCCTAATAGCTACAAGGACTGTTGAGTTTGGATTAGGGTCATTAGACGTGGTTGCATTTCCTTAAGGTTAATATTAGTTGGTAGTAACCCGAAGAAGAATTACATAAGAGAGTCAATTTGAACTGCAATAACTTAATTCCAGTTAATTGTTAGGTTTAATCATGAGACAAGTCAAACTAAATGGTTAATCAAGCTATGTTTTAGCATAGTGGATGACTGGTTGTCAATTAATTGAAATAACTAATTTAACACATAATAATGAACTTATGATTTATTCGGTTGTTGGTTAGACCCAATTTACAATATAACACCCGGGTATATTTGAACTCTAGACAGCTAAGAGATTTGGTATGAATTCTCTTAAATTTGTTACCTTGAGGACATATAATCTTGTGCATTGGATTTTAAAGAATGTTTGCTACAAAATAATAGGGTATAGTAGAAGCCATTATTCTTTTTATCATCCCCTCTCCTTCCTCTCATATTACTTTCAATCAAACTCTAGATTATAACTATTGGAGACTCAACCTCAATCCGATTGTGCAAGGAGTTTGTCTTGCAATTTGCCTAGATCTAGAGTAGAGGAGGGGGCAATATTGTGCTTCTGCGAGTATTTCTCCTTTTCCTTATGTAGATTAAAAATATCCTTTGCTTTATTCTAAAATTTTGACCTTCAGCTTCTGCTTCTGGTACGTACTTAGCACAATTACATATGTATTTGACGTCTATGTACATATTCTTGCATCACTTCTTACAGGATGCATGCGCACGTGCACAAATGATAGCACATATATTATTCAGGTATATTTTCATGTATTTATGGATGCTTACAAAGTGTACATGTTATTTCCTATGTAAAGTATGAAATTGTGCCCATCTTTGTTGGCCTATATTGATTCCAAGACTGTGCGTTAGGTGCCTTTTGTTTTTTTGTTTTTTTTTATTTTAATTCCTCGACTGGTAGTGTTCGTGTGGTGCTTGTATGTGAAGGTACTACCATACCAGGATTCTGATCTGGGGATCAACTCACAGTATTACTTTCACCAACATTTCTTTCTTTCTTTCTTTATTTTATTATTATTATTTTTTGGTAGGTGTCCTATCATTGTAGTGGGGTATACTTTTATAGAGATGCCTTTTGGTTCTATCCAACTTTGTCTTCAGAAAATACCCTATACTAGTTAAAGGTGATATTGACTTGATTTTTATTTGTATCAGAAAATACCTGCTACTTTGGCGACGCCTAAGCTGAGGCCGATGGTTGAATAGGTGAAGGACATGACTGCAGCAACTATAGAGAGCCACCATACTTGATCGAAATCAGGTATCTGAGAGAATATAACCTCTGTGATCCCAAATATGATCATGTACATGTTGCTCGACATCTTACACGGGGCGTCATCTCCATGAACATGAAAGCAGTTAGACCTTTTGATTGCCCTGCATCCGCCATGAACACAACTTGAATCAGACACAGAGGCCATCCGGTATAGTTTGCTCCTTTCTTAGAATTTTCCTTTATTAGATTAGAGCCTTTCTATGCTAAGGTTTTCTACGTGTGACCTATAATTTGTGTATACATTGAAGGTACTACTTCCTTCAGTATGAATGATTAGAGCGATCTTTTGAGATTTGACATGGTATGAGAGTCTAACCCTAGAAAACGCATCAAAACTTTTTTTGACAGAAGTGAGTACAGAGGTGAAGTCCTTGTGATTATGCTACACATATTATAAACTTTAGGAGATACGACTTACATCATACTGATTGAGGCGGCAATCGTATACCCAATTGCTACACCGACGAGATTGACATACTGGATTGCACCACAAACTTTAACCTTCGTTCCACCTGCTCATGTTGAATACTCAATTCAGCCTTAAATGCCGACATTTTTTACAGATTGATATAAGAAGCATTATCATGAATCTTACCTAGGTTTGATCTTACAGCATCCATATATGTATAGTTTCTCTTCCCAGCAATGGGATCTCCGGTCCTGTAGCAATCAGAGAGTAGGTTGGATGTATAGCAGATCACCGCGGCAAATAGAATCATGACTGAAGGTCCAGCTATCCAACCAAGCTGCCCTATTGCCCAAGCAAGTGATAAGACTCCTGATCCTATCACTGCTGTGATAATGTGAGAGGAAGCAGTCCATACTGTTCCTGTTTACAGTATCAGATTCATATTTCAGTACCTTTAAAAGTTGTGGGTAAATTTCTGCAAACCCCCCAAATCTAGTATGAAATCTCAGTGAACTTTGTTTGTCTCGCTAAACCCTCAAAAACTTTCCCACAAAATCCCCCAAAAAGTCTCCCGCAATCGAAGGACCTTACTATCTACCTACCCAGTTATGTCCTTTCCTTACTTTCTCCGTGCTTTTTTTCTGGCAGGTTTTGTGGGAAAATCTGAAAGTTTTAGGGGGTTATTTAAGTCTCTCTGGAGTTTTTGGGGGTTATGTGAAATTTACCCTAAAGCTATTGCTTTGTAAAGAACGATGGCGTTTAACGGTTTATGAACCTGTTCTCTTGAGACGGCCATCATCGTCAAAGCACTTGGAGAAGTTAGGCTGAGGGCTGATGGCTTCGACATCCTGATGAGGTTTCGCCTGCGACTGAACTTCAAAGTACACTCTTGCATCGCGATTGTCACCTGACTGAAACCATACAAGAACCGGGTCATTTTTAGCGTGCATGTACCTCGAAGAGGAAACTTACAAATGCTTTTTTCACTCGGTTCTCGGGGGCTTACAACGTCATCTTGAATCCTGGAGGGAAGCGTTCTGCTCCTTGGCAACATGGTGAACTAACACAGGGGAGTTTAGATTGAAAATTAAGTGGGATAGAAATTGAGCTGATGGATGTATGAACTAGTTTATGGGAGGATTTGATTTATAAGCAAGGGAGATGAGTGTGAATCCAGTCCTCGTCACACAGACAAGGAGTAGTGCCGGGTACCGTGTTATCCTGCACACCAGCAAAAGGATGGTTGTGTGAGTCACTCATTTAAATGAAAGGGATAGCATTTGAGATTCTTGCTCAGAGTTTTTGAATCTTGTCACCATTTTTTACTTTTTTACTTTTGGATGTTAACAGCTTCGAGATCGAGCGACCTTTCTATTAAAAGATTTGCTCTCACCAAACAATAAGCAGGTTATTTTTAGTTTTCTTTTTATCTCCTCAACGTCATGTGTTTTCTTGGGTAATGCATGATTATTTGTATTTTACAACTGACCCCACAGTCATCAATTTAGGGGTGGGGGTGGGGGTGGGGGTGGGGGGGATCTGCGGTAAATTTGTGAAGATGGATCTAACCTCAATGTGACATTTTTATGTGCCCTTTTAATTCTTTTAGGAACATCATGAGATAATATTGAGGAAAAAGGAGGAGAGAGAGAGAGAAAACAAGCTCGTGAACTTTTTTTTTCACTATTTTCGATTTACGTTTCCCACGTTTTACTCACAACTTTCATTGATGTGAAAGCTTTGGCGTCTTCTTGGTGTTTTTATGGTGAATTTTACTACTTTACCTCTAGTTTGTGCTCATTTGGGTAAATTTTCTGTCCATATAGTAATAAGTTCAAGGGGTCCGTAAGTTCGATTGTTCGAGGACTGAAGCGGGTAAAATTAGCTTGGGTGATAATGATATAATGCTTTCCTCAGTGAAAGGGTAATGCCGTAATGGTCATAATCTCCTCACGAAAGTTTATTTCTGGACTGAAATTTGTTTTGTTTTTTTTTATTAGAGAGTTGCCTCGGTACTCCAAAAATAGGGATTTATTTAATTTGTAATTCAAAAGGGTAGTATTGTGATTTTTCCTCCCACTTTCCTTTCTCTTTGAGGGTGTTTGGTTGCACAATTTTATAGAAAAGTTTTCTCAAAATGTCTGACAATAACAATTCTGTAATTAAAAATTTTCTGTAGCTTTTTGTTAACTGTGTTTGGTTCAAAAAAAATCTTCAGAAATGTTTTCTGTAAAGTGTAAAATACAAAAAAATATTAAAATTTAAAGAAATCAATTTTCTCTCAAAATGGGCGAAAATCACTCAGAAATCTGACATAACATTGACAGTTTTCTATAAATTTAGGGGATGTTTAGTTTAATTTTTACAAATTATAGGAAATATTGTTATTTTCTATAGATTTATGAGTCATTTTTTTGTTTTGAACCAAACAAGCAAAGTAAAAAAAAATGGTACTTTTTGACTTCTCAAAATTTTTTCTATAATTTTTTAAGAAATACAAGAAAATCATATTTTGAATGAAAAACATTTCCTATAATTTGTAGAAAATTGAACCAAAAGCCCTATTTGTTGACGATTATGCCTACAGTGACAGGTTAAAGCGCAATTGAGAGAGGAAGATTCAATTGAACCCATTTTTTTCATCAAAATATTGTAAATTTCTATTTATTCAGCTTTTCAATTGTTAAATATTAAGCCCTTCCGAAGAAAATTTTCCATCTCCACATCATAGATCTTATAACTATTCGCTATAACCAACCAGAGTTTCCTCGTCCACCATTATCGTTAAAAAAAAGAAACCTAGAAAATAGATTGGAAAAAAGAAAACAAATTAGAGATAGCATAAGAATGGAGATGGTGGGTTTGATTGGAGAAACAAGGGGTGAAGAAATCATGCTAATGATGAGGGAGGAACATCAAGATGAAAAGGCAGAAATTTTCTGGTCGTGAAATTAGGATCGATGCGCTGTAGTCGGTGGGTGGTTTTCCCTTGAGGGACCAAATATAAAATGGAGAAGAAAATTTGACAGTAACTCCCCTGAAAAGACGAAAAATTTTACATGATTGACAGTGGAACTCCAAAGAAAACCACCACGCAGATAACTTGTGTTTGGTAATCAATGTTTTTTTTTGTTTTTATAAAAAACATCATGTTATGGTGTTTCTTTTTCAAATGTATTTTGAAAACACCATTTTGGTCAAACTAGTTTGACCATTTATATAGCGGTGACAGCGACGGGCGGGTGGCGAGTGGTCGCGGCGGCGGGCGAAGCGACAAATGTCGGCTACCGGCGGTAGCGCGCCAGTGGCCGACGGGCGGTGGGACGGCCGGCGACGGTGGTGGCGCGGATGGGCAGGATCGGCCGACGGGTGGACGGCAGTGGCAGCGGTGGTGGGGCGGTGGCAGTGAGGGTGCCGGCGCGCGCCCGAGTGGCGGGTGGCCGATGCGGTGAGTGGCCGGCGGGCTGTGGCGGTGGCGCGGTGGCGCGGGTGCTGGTAGCCGACGAGCGGCGGCGACGGGCTGACTGGTGGCGACGGGAGACGACAGTGGCGGTGGTGCGGCGGGTGAGGGTGGCTGGCGGCGGCGAACCGGGGAGCGCGACGGTGGCGGTGGTGGCGACCGCGGGCGGCGGACGGCGGGGCGCGCACGGCGGGCTGGACAACGGCGGGGCAGTGGCTACAGGATGGCGGCGGACGCGAGGCGGCGAGCGCGGGCGACGCGTAATCGGCCCAGGCGCGGGCTGCGGCGGCTTAGATGAAAAAACGGAATCTTAAAACATCTTTTTGGTGTTTTGAGAAAAAGTGTTTAATTTTTAGATTTTGTAAAGGGACAAGTCAAAAAAACGCCCCGGTCGCCAAACACGTTTCTTTGTTTTTGTTGAAAAAAACAGCAAAAACGTCACGGTTGCCAAACGCTCCTTGTATACGAAACTAAAGAGAGCTAAATAAATGGAAACTATTTACCATGACTGCCGTCGGTACTCGTAAAAAGTCATTTTGGGAGTACCGAAGCAGTTGGCTTTTTTTTTTATAGAATCAGTCTTTAAAATAATTATTTTTTATTTTTAATTTGTATATAAGCTATCTTTAAAGTGAGTTTTTGTTCTAATCAACCATCTTCTAACAAAAGTTTCATTTGAAAATCTACATAACCTTAAGAAAATGCATGTTTAAGTCATGGGACTTGTATCCTAACTAAACCTAAATATTAATAAACTTAGTCACACGTCATAAGTATGAGTTTTTATTGTCTTTTTGAGATTTTTAATGAAAAATTTGTTGTGTATTTCAAATACACAAAGGCAAAAATGTTTAGTTCCACACTGGAAAAAGATGTAGGATGTTTGTTATTTATTTTACAACATTTGGTTTTCCCAACGTTTTTTAACCTTTGGTGCTCCTAACGTTTTTCAACCTTTTGTGTTCCTAAGAGGATCAACCTTTGGTTTTCCTACAATTTCAATTTTCATCTATAAATTGAGACATGTTCTCCTCAGTTGGGACACTAAAAAACCTTTTATGCTCTATCTTCCTTCCTATCAGAGAGAGATCTTCGCTGTTCTTTGTAGAACATGTTATTGGAACGAAAATCCACTTTAAAAGAAAAGTATATATAAATTAAAAATAAAAGGTGATTTCTATAGAATAGTTACATTTTAGGTGCTTTCTAGGAAAAATTTAAACCCTTGAAAATATAAAGATGTAACATAATTAATCTCGTTCATGCATGATTTTCTCTCTCGCACTCTTATGCTTCATGAAAAATTTGTCTTTTCCCAGCACCAAAGAAGTGATATGAACATAAAAAAATAATCCAACATTAATTGGACTCACAAATTCATGATACAAAGAGAAAGCATTATGTAGTAACAGTTTATGACATTAAATATGTGTTTAAAAGATATTCATCGTTAAATCAGGGCACAAATCTCGAAAATCTAACAATCCAATGATTAATATTATTTAGGTGCGTATTTAATGTCATAAGGCCCGATGCACTTGATACTTTTTCGATGATAAGATCAAACACCTTTACTTTATTAATCGTCGAATCAACTGAACATGTGAGACAACAATCCAATGACTGATATTATTTGGGTGCGTATTTAATGTCATAAGGCCCGCTGTACTTGATACTTTTTCGATGATAAGATCAAACATCGTTACTTTATTCATTGTCGAATCAAATGAACATGTGCCTCATGTTAAGTGGATTCCTTCCTACATTTACGCCCTTTCCTTCGTATAATGCCACGTGTAATCGTGATTGTGCACGTTTTTAATTAAAAGCCTAAAGTTGGATGACTGTGATCCCCGCAAAGTCACCAGCCTCACAACTATTCCTAAAGTAATAATGATCACTGTTATAGTTGATGTGTAACTAAAACCGTTAAATCACAAGTGGAAGCATCCAAAATCGATTAAGATTAAAGTTAGGATTCTCACGGCGTTTCTATGTTAGATTAGATCTGTTTGGGAGTAACGAAGCGGTTGACTTTTTTTATAGAATCCATCTTAAGCATAAGGTTGTTTTATAGAAATTACTTTTTATTTTTAATTTATATATAAATTATCTTTAAAGTGGGTTTTTATTCTAATCAAACCTTAAGAAAATGCATGTTTAAATTATGTGACTTGTATCCTAACTAGACCTAAATATTAATAAAGTTAGTCACATGTTTTGAGTATTGTTGTAAATATAAATACAATGAATGTGGACATTACTAGAAGAAGTCTCTTCACCTACTTGTGATTTTTAGTATTCTCTTCCACATCTATATAATGTAATCCATGGAAGACAAAATGTATGGAGGAATGAGGAAGATGAATAAAATGAGAATCACTTTTCTCCCTATTTCTTCTCTTGTCTATTTACATTTATATTTTATGTTTGATTCTTACTGTTGATATATATATGATGTATGTAGATATAACAACAATATTACAATACGTTATCAGCATGAAAGCTCTACCTAGCCGGTTCGTAATCGTCCGTTGGTGGTAAGAGATATTTCGGTGTACACATCTTACAATGTAACAATTTTCACATGATACTTTCTTATTTTGCTTTTATTCTGATCAATTATATTAAGCAAATATCAATGAGTTTGCAAACTGAAAAGGTAGAGTAATTCACATAGGGGATATGCTCCTTTGTACTCAATAAATAAGACAAGTTAACAAACTGAAAAGGCAAGTATTTTACATGCAATAAGAAATCAGTGCAATAGTGATGGGTTTTTAAAAACTAGCACGGTCCGATTAACCAATGGCATGCATGTATAATCTAAATGATCAATCATGTAAGTGCATAGTGTTTCTGTTCCATTTGTATCCATTTTCGAGACTGCAAAATAATTATATTTGAAACCACACAACATGAAAGTCATTGAATAACTCAATAATTTTCACCATATCGGTAAAATGAAT